ATTTTATGCTATAAACTCTGGAGTATGGCTAATTTATGTTTCTTACAGATAGCTTCTGCTCTGTTACTTTTCATTTCTGTCACTGGAAACCGGTTGTGAAAACTTGGAGAAAAGTAGATGTCTGTAATGAGATGTTTACCTGAATTGGGCAAAATATTGCTAGACTTTCTACACCAGACAGACTGGTTTGTCACACAGGCAGTGATGACTGCTCTTAAGTAACTAGTATATTGGCAGTAGCTGTTTTTTAAATAAATAATTGAGACATCTTGTAGGCTCATTTAGCAGAAGGTGAATGCCTTCTTTTGCAAAGCATTTTGTTTGCAGGATACAGCCTTAAATGTGAACAAAACCTTTCAAAGCTCAAATACTTTAAATGGACCAATACATCAACAGGCTCTTTCTGCACTTAAGTGCTGTGTATAAACAAAGTGGCAGTAGAAATACACCTGTGCTGGGGTATCCTAACGAGATGACTACTGTGTTAAATAGGAGTAAAGCTGAATCACCTGTACAGGCTGACCATCAAGAAGTGACATAAATGAATGCAGTGTGAGGACTGTGTTTTATCTGCCCTCTCTGTGCAACCAAAATGACCCCTGTGTTTGCTCCATACCCAGGTACTCATTCCAGCTACAGTGTTCATTGGGCTGCACAACGGGGACTGCTGTGGCTGCTTTGGCCATGGGGGCTGTGGGAAGAGCTGTGTGGTGAGTGAGCCTGTACACCCCAGTCCCGGCTAGTCCCAAACACCAGGTGATGGCTGTGCTGAAAGTTCATGTTTGTCTGCTGTGCAGATGCTGTCCTCGGTTCTGGCAGCCTTTGTTGGGATCCTTGGCTCTGGATACTGTATAATCATTTCAGCACTGGGCTTGTCTCAAGGACCATACTGTTTTACCCACATACAGAGAAACTGGATCTATCCTTTCACTGATTCCTCTGGAGGGTAAGTTGTCTGTTCTTGAGGATGTTATATCTTACCCCACGTACACATGGGCTTTATTCCAGTACCTTTCAGCAATAACCAGTAACCATATATCAAGATTCATTCATAATTTTATGCTTCTTGCTCACTAAGAGCTAAACAAATGGCATCAGTTACCCGCACTGCTATATGAAACCAAAGAAATAGAAAAATATATATAATTATATATATCGTATATTATATATATTATATACAATATGTATATGTTATATATATAATTAAATCTATATATCATATACTGTTCATGTCCCTGAACATCTCTAACAAAGTATAAAGTTTTATGACTTTGAGGGATTTTCAACCTATGAATAGTGGTTGTTATGAGATTTGTCATATGATTTGTGTAAGAGTCTGTTTTGTCAGGCTTGCTTCTGAAGTTGCTTTGTGTTAGCCTGAAGTGGTACAATGGCTGACAGAGCTTAAGGAGTGTTTGGACGATACTTTCAGGCACATGTTGTGACTCTTGGGGATGGTCCTGTGCAAGGACAGGAGTTGGACTCTGTGATCCTTGTGGGTCCCTTCCAACTCAGCATATTCGGTGATTCTGTGAAACTTTGCATGGAATAAACACTGTTTTTTCTGTTCCCACTTGGAGTGAATATCCTTGATGCAGTTACAGACTAGGCATAATTTGGTTCTAGTGTATGGTAAGCATCCACTCTGACACAATGTTAATACACTTTTAATTGCTGTGTACAGGTACTTGTTTGAGTACAACAAGTGGTCTGAATGTCAAGAACCTCAGAACATCGTGCAGTGGAATGTCACCCTCTTTTCCATCCTCCTTGTCTTGGGAGGAATAGAGTTCATTCTGTGCTTCATACAGATAATCAATGGTATTCTTGGAGGACTCTGTGGGCTGTGCAGTCACGAGGAGGTAAGTTGGTTGTAGTTATAACCCTGCTTCTCAGATGAACATGAAACAGTATTATTAGTGATGCTACTGTGGAGTCTTACTCAGCAGTTGCTTTTTAGATATTCGTAAGCAACAAGTTCCCTGTACAACAGGTTTTATAGCCCTGTTGTGTTTAGCATTTTCATGTAGTGTTTGGCCACGTGTGTTCAGCTGATTCCTCAGCTGTCACAGTGACAGTCTGCATGGGAGCTAGGAGCTGGAAGGCTTTTGTCTGCCCAGTGGCACATGTGATCATCAGCACTGTACAGGTGATATAACTGAGACACTGATCTCTTGGTGGTTGTGGTCTTTGCCTAAACCATGCTTGCATAGTGTGATGCTTGTTCTAACTATATTGCATTAGCCTTGTGTTTTGCCCACAGCAGCTCATAAACTACTGATAATATGCTGCATGTAATGAAAACTGCAGCATCCTGGCCTTGCTTAGTAAAAGTAAGACAAGAGAAGGAATTAAATTTTACAGCTAATAAAATCTGCAGACAGGTCTGAAGGGTTTTTGAAGGTGGATTTTTTTGAGTGAGGAAAGGGAATTTCCTCCAAATTAAACAGTTTGGGCATATTGTTAAAATCAGTATCATAGTGGTAGTGTTGGCTTAAGGTATGAACCAGATATCATTTATATCACACATTGTAGATAAGAAAGTGTTTCACATTTTTAATTGACATAGTTGAGTGTCGGGACTTTTTCAAAGCTATTACTGTCTTCTTCCTCCTGTCTTCCATGGTCTAACTGCAGTACAGAAGAGGCATACTATGGTTGTCTAAATTTGGTCAGGTTAATTTTTTCATTTATAGTTGGACACAATATTAGCATTCTTTCCATTAATATGTTAATATGTTTCTTTCTTTTTGTTCCCCCTGCAGACATATGTTTGCTAGAAACCTCACAATGCATTGACGTCGGTGGGTGTGTGTGATGTAATGAGTATTCTGTGGATTTTTTTTAAACATTCCATGCATACTGAAATACACATTGTTGCCATCAATTTAACTGACTTGGGGCCAGCCTTTTGTTATTGGAGTCATATGCAGGTTTGTCACTAACCTGCCTGAACTTAAAGGCAAAATGTATCCTGAATATCTTTGGTTCATTTTATCTTAGTACAGGCAGTTGCCTGAACACATCACTAAAGAGGCTTTATTTATTTTTTTTCCTTATACTGACACAACGGCTCTGTACTTTATCCCACTTTCCCAATAAAGTTGTTCTTTCATTCTGATCTTGTAATGAACACAAACCAAATCTAGTCTGGCCTGGATATAAATGAATACTGGCTTTTGGGTAGATACATGCACTTCACCTTTTCAGGATTTTTCTGAACTTCCCCTGTATTTCACAAATAAAGATTTGTATTAAAAATACCCATCAGGTGTCAATGATTCCTTCCCTGCCCATGCTGAAACACTGCTTGCCTGGTCTCGGAGTAAAGGACAGTGGTGGCATGAGAATGTGGATATAATGAAGTCAGGTTATAACCTGCTTTTCCTCTCCAACAGGCTCTGCCAGAGTGGAACTGCTTCACTGCTTGGTTTGGATCATGTAGCTGAATCCACAAGGGTTCAGCAACAGCTCTGTGACAGATACAGCCGCACATGTGGAATCCTAGTCCTGACTGGCAGTTCCCAAGGGGGTCCTCGTGCAGCTGAATCCAGCTGGGAGTCCCCTCTTTCCCCCCCAAAGGAGATCACCTTCTGACTGCTCCATTACAGGAGCATTACAGGACACAAAACAAAATGTGGGCCTGACTCTTGTTCTTTACGTCACTCAGTAGACCCTCAGGCCTCACAGCGTTGGGGGAATACAGTCCAAATTCAGGTCAGCAGAAACAGATTAATCTGAAATACCTGACTTCACCAGTAAGCAGCCTGGAGGCATTATTGTAAGCTACTGTGCAAGAACCTCTGAGGTACAGCTTGTAGCATATTAGAGTGAATGTTTTATCACAAGTAAATCTGATTAACGTGCTGCCAACAGCATTGCTGGCAAGGTCAGTATGCAGCTGGTAGTGGCAATTTTCAAGTGAAAACCAAAATGTGACGTGCTATTTACTTCAGAGAAATGAGTCTCGGTTTTGGAATTTAGCTGTTAATGTTGTCTTTGAAAACAGGTAAGTTGATTTCTATTTATGGGAGAAAAGCTCCCATGGATGTCAGTGCATCCTTAGACCATTTGTAACTAGGAGAATGGTCTTTAAAGGTAGCCAGAAACTTGAGAGGTATCTCAGACTGTCCACACAGTCAAGTCTGCCCTGTACCAGTGAGTATCTGAAAAAAAGAAATTAACTGTGAAAACAAAATTGTACACACACATCCACAGCAGCAAAAGAACTCACAGATGGGAAGAGTTTGTGTTTAGAATCTCAGGATACATGATTTTTGCAATAGCATTTATTCATACCTAAATACACAGAAGTAGTTGAGAGTTTTAATGACATTTGTTTGTTGTGTTTATCCCTGTCTTGCCCTGCTATGGGAGGAAGGAAGGACAATATGTGCATGCACATGTGTATACACACAAAATTCCTTGCAGCTGTGCAGTACAGTGTCTTTGTATGTGAAGAAACACTGTTTGAAAAAGTATCTGCAAGTTTAAATGGTGTGGAAGGAGAGAAGCGGAGAAGAGGATCCCCAGTAGAGCCAGGTATGATGCCATGCAACTCAAAGATTTTTGCCTTTATGCTTGCATGATGGTTATTTGTCTTTCCGGTACACACAATTAATTAAAGAACTGAAACAATTTTAGAAATTGCAATAGATGAAATGATTAGGGTAGATTAGGATTTAAAACTTCAGCTCAGATCCACGTAGCACTAATGCACAACATTACTACTCATTATTTATGTTGTTATGTAAAAAAAGACCAGTTGGATTCCTTTGTTGCCTGGTGCCTAACACAGTGTTTTGGGAGATTTATCAACTATATTGTGGAGAAGCAGTTGGTTTAGGTTGTATTCGTTTCAGTTGGCAGAGAAGTCACTCATCCAGAGTAAACATGACTTTTTGGTAACGGTCTTGGCATCAGCTCATGGATAATGACAGCAACAGCAAAGCAGTGCTTGCAACACTTAGTAAGATATTTGAGAAACTGTCTTACAGATTTGCTTAATTCTTAGTATAGAATGGTTGTTTCCTATTCTAGTGGTTTTGTGTGCCAGCAAAATAACCACACTATGATTTGGTATTTGCAGAGCTCAGTTTGAATACAAACTAAGTTGTGGTGTGGGCTGCTGTACTGCAGAACAAATGCTGCTTCAGGCAGTTTCCCAAGTTAGTTTATTCTGATCAGAACAGCTTATAATAGAAGTAGCAGCAAATTTCATTATAAAATAGTCTGCTTGCTATTAATTTTGGCCTCTGCTTTTAGGAAAAAATATTTCAGCCTATTGCATGATCTCTGAGTTTTTAATAAAAGATCAGTCATGAAGATTTGATGTGTGTACTTTTAATGCAGCTGTTTTCTCTGCTATGAAAGGCACAGTGTTGATGACAGGAGTTCTGTCTTTGCCTGTGAGTCCGAAAAGGCAGGTTTGCTACTACTTCTGATTGGAGGGAGACCTGAAAGAAAGTGTCCATAGTGATTAGAGAGTAAAACAGGTGATATGGGAACATCAAAATGAAACCTCTTAGAAAAGAGGAGAGTCACAGCAGAGAAGGGTAGAAAAACAGTGTAATTGTGTGAGTAGCACCATGCCCATTTCCTTGTGTAATCTCATTCAAAGCAGTAGTATGGTATTAGTTACAATACGCAATCCAAAGAGCTTTTATGAGATGATGTGAGAAGCCTCATGCGTGCAGAGCCTGAAACAGCTCATGAGGAAACAGAAGGAAAATGTATTGTATCATTGCTTCTAAAATCGGCCTTCCTGCATTTGATAGAGCCCCATTTTTTTGTTCTCTGACTGCAACTTTCCTATTGAGTAAAGCCTAAGCTCATTCTAGAGTTACTTTTCTGATGACTCACAGGGGTGTAGACTGAAGGCTTGGGTCAAGCTGTGTTCAGACCACTCCAGCTCTGTGTTACTGGCAGAGATGTTTAATTGCTCAGGGGTAAGGGAATGATGACACGTGATAATGGGGAAGCTGTGTGACTTTGGCTTTGCACAGTGCAAACAGCAGGCATTTCAAAAAAACCAGCCAGACCTTTTGTCCTGCACAAGAAGTCACGTGTACGTAGGTTAGGTCTGTAGCTGTGCAAGCTCAGCTGTAAGCACAGAATGAAACAATTGGAGAAATAGCAGCATTTGATTTGAAAAACAGTTGAGCCACGTAATGCTGTGTGAAAAGTAATTGATTAAAAGTGTGACAGTAAGTCTGCCTGGCAGTTTCTAACCAGTGTTATTTGGGCTTCTGTACTCTCTGCAAGATGGCCCAGACTCAGCCTGGTGTTTCTGTGTGACTGTCCCAAGTCAGCAACAAGTTCCCCCTTAGGGCTCTGTTACTAAATCTGTCATGTGAGGCAAAGTGTGGCCTTCTGTACAGAGACTGGATATTTCTCATCTGACAGCCCCCTTCCCCATGCTGCATTGAGGCTGAAGAACGTGCCTCTGTCACAAACTGTCTGTGTTACAGTTTGTATTCCGGGGCGGAGGAGGGCATTTTTGAGCAGTCACTAGGAAATGAGAGCTCTGAATTTCCTTCCTGAGTCTGACTCCTAGATATATTTCATTTGGAAGATCACAAAGGAGGATCTTTTAGAAGGGAAATGGCTACTTAAAGAGGTGCTTAGACAGGACAGTGAGTTTACATAGCGATATTCATCTGTTGTTCAGCTAACTATTCAGCACTTCTGTCCCTGGAATCACACCCCAATCACTGGTTCCTGTGAATATGAAATGACTGAAACAGGCCGGGGAGGTCAAAACACTTTTTATATTTAAAATCTTGTAATCTTTTGTTAGCTTAGAAGAGCGAAATTTCCCAAGTTCTTGAGAGATGGCTTTAGAGACATGTGGAAGCTGTTTGAGTTGCCTGCTGATACCTCTGGCACTTTGGAGTATTGTTGTGAACATCCTCCTGTACTTCCCGAATGGGAAAGCTCTGCATGCAGCCAGTTACCAGCTCCCCAGCTACGTGTGGTATTTTGAAGGGATCTGTTTCTCAGGCGTGATGGTAAGTGCTCATTCTATGAGTTTTTAGTGAATTGCATTCTACTGCAAATATTGACTTACTCTTCAGCAATGCAATTGTGCTTTTAAAGAATATATGGATTACTTTGGCAAAATCACTGTAGGCAAAAAACTCGATCAGATTTTAAAAAATGTTAATATACTGAATGACAAGCTAGGTAAACTATTTAATGAAAACTGTGTACACTATTTAACATGAGTGATTTTGCAGGGTGGGGTTTTTTTCTGCTGTCTTTTTGTTTATGTGTAATTTACGCTTGTATTATGAAGGCAGACACTATGTTGATTTAGTCCTCTAGGAAGGTTGAATTAGAGCTCTTTTACCAAAACAAACTGAAACAAAAACTTCTCATAATGGTTCAGATGTTTTTAAGAGCTGTATGCACTCCCATATTAAGAAGACTGGATACAGTTCACAATGCATCAGGTGCCACTGTTGTCGGGTTGAACACAGAGAATTGTCTCACTGTGATTGGCATAGTAGGATTTTCCCCATTACATTTGTAGTATGTTCACCTGCAGTAATAAACTACCATGGAGTTGCCCACTGTTCATGCTGTTCCCTATGTTCATAAAGAGCTGTATACTCAGGGATAGAAAGCAGTGATGTGATCAAAGTGCATTACACACAATCAGTGCTTAAAAAGGGCTCATCTGCATAAGTGAGGTTTTTTTATGAAGATGCTGAACGGAGAGAGTTACTTCTTTTGAAATTGTGTATTCTCCATAAAGCAGAAGAAAAATCTTATCTTTTCTAGCAGAGGAAAAAAACCTATCAGACAGAGGATTCAAAGAGAAAAACAGTTGCAAATTTGGGAAAAAGTTAACTGCAACAGTGATATTGATATTTTGAAGCATTTTTAGCCTTAGGATTATTACCAATTTATTAAAAATGCATATGTCGTCGTGTTACAAACAGGTCAGCAGCATGTGAGAGGATAATACTGTGATTCAGAAACATTCCCTTCTCATATTTCCCCTTTCAAACTAGTACCTCTCTGAGTGGCAGTTTGTGGTTCTGGAGTCCAGACCCTACTTATCAAAATGATTCCAGGATCAAGCTGAAATAATGCAGTAGTCTGAGAAAATCAGTATGGATACTTGACAGAGAAAACAAATGAAAGTCCAGATGAATTTAATTAACAGCTTGCACTACTGACTTTTTCCAGCGTGACTGCGTTGGTAAGGAAGGCAATACCCTGATCTGTGTACCTGTGTCAGCAAGAAGCTGTTGAACTGATGCGGTTGTATCAATAAAATATCCTTCCTTTCATTGGTATTGATTCCCTTCCTTGTGAACTTGGTTTCATTGTTTCAGGTTCACTGGTGTAGCTGCACCCAAGCTCACAGCACTTTACTGTGGTGGGAGACACTGTGCTCTTGTCTTTCAAGCACAAGTACAGTGACAGCCCAGTAAAGCCACTCCAGTTCCATGTGTGCCTTGAGTAATTGTGCTCTCCCACAGATCCGCTTTACAATTTCAAGAGAGCACAAGAAATGCAGTCCCTGCTTTCCATAGGTGAAGGACACTTTGGCTTAGTATCTGCAGTCATCTCACTGACCTTGTGATGTGCCCTTACAGATCCTTCTTTTGGCAGTAATTCTAATGACACTGGAGTGTAGCGTGTTCTACCGGTGCTGCCAGAGTGAAAGCTGTAACAAGACCTACAGAGTGAGTCTATGTTTTATATCTCTGCCTCTCCTTAGCTTTTGTTTTGAGTGCCTTCCTGCTCCCATGGTTCCAGCACATCCTTCTGCCCCCTCTACTGTTCGTTTTCACTTCCTTTCAAAGAGAAGGATTCTAAATTGGCTTACAAGGCACAGAAAGTGTAGCTTCTTCCTTCTGATGCATAAGCAGGATGAAAGAAAACTAGACACAGACTCCTCCCAAATCCTTGTAAAATAAAATAAGAATGTAAAAGGCCTGAGTATGTCAATAAAGTGCCCCAACTAAATAGATTCATGCCTTTGCCTGTCTTATTTGGAAGTTATTTTTTCTGCTAATGACTCAATATATGCCATCTGGAATGCAGACTATTTAATACATGGTTGGGTTTCCTGTTGTATTTTGGGAAAAATTTTACAAAACTGCAAGTTTAAAAAAACCCACCCAAACAATATTATAACTTATTATGGAACTGTCTTAAACTCTGTCTTAATCTTTATTTTGCATGTGTATGCTTTTACTATTCTTTACCTGCTATTTTTCTTTTTGAATGTTGAATATTGAGAAAATCAGATGTGAAATTCAGCCCCAAGGAAGTAGCTAGGCAGACTGAATGACTGTGTTTGCTGTGGACACTGCCCCTCAGAGTAATATTTCTCTCTCTTTACTCTCCAGAGTTTTATTTCAATTGTGCTAGCCCTGCTTGGAGTTGCTTTCTCGGGATACAGTTGCATCATTTTTACCCTGGGTTTGATTCAAGGCCCTTTCTGTAATTCATCAAGTGGATGGGATTATATTTTCAAAGACACTGCTGGGGGGTAAGAAAAATCAGTGTAACTCTTCTCCAAGAAATTGTTCATCAAAAAAATAGTCAGACACATTTTTCTTACCTCACACTGGTGTTTCTCTAACAGGTACCTGACAGATTACCCTGCCTGGTCTCGATGCACAGAACCTGCTAACATAGTGGAGTGGAATGTCATTTTACTCTCCATTCTCATAGCTCTCAGTGGACTGCAGCTGATCATCTGTTTTCTCAAAGTGGCTGCTGAGTTGAAGCGGACGCTCTGTGGGACCTATTCTGTTTTTGTCCAGGTAACAAAACATCTGAGATTAATTTCTTCAGCACCTCCAAGTCAGTTTAGCTACAGGAACTTCTCCTAGTTGAGGACCTACCCTTTTGGTTTATGCATTCTCTATGCTAGTGCATTTTTTTTATCAGAGGATATGTATTGATAATACATTTTTTGTTTTTGATTAGTCTGCTAATTCTTTGTGGTATACAGGAATTGGTGGCTGCTCACTCTGACCTTTAGGGCTAGGACTGAGAAAAAAAAAAAAAAGTGGCTGGGAATTCAGCACTGATGCCAAGTCCATTACCCCTATGTCAGCAGAGTACCTTTGCTGAGCACCTTTCTTCAAGCATTCAGTTCACAGACATTCTTACCATCATTGCTGTGGCTTTCACAGCAATGATGAGATTTGCACTTCCTTTTTTATTTGCAGGCTGGGATTCTCTGAAAATGGGAAGGAAATTGTTGCTGCTTCTCCCCCCACACCAGAAAAAGAGAGATGGCCTGTCCAACATCCGTGGTGGTAGATTTGAGTGCTACAAAGACAAATGAAACCTTTCTCTTCAATCTTTGTCTCCCAAGCCTCTCTGTTTTGGATGAAGTTGTTTGAACTGTTTGACATCTATGTTTTATTTTGCCTGTCTTGTTGTCCCTGGCAGGGACTCTTCAATTTTTTAACCTCCAACTTGTTGTGACAATAGGGATGTTTGAATACCATGGAACTGCTTTTGTATTGAAACCACCTTTCTTTTTTTTTAATAAACTGCTGTAGAACTGCTTTAATACTCCCCTCTCATTGCTTAGACCATATGAATATTTGTGGTTCCATAAGGGCCTGGTTCAAAGCCCAGGAGGGGTTGTTAGTGCACTGCATGAAGCCATGATTTCCTAAATGACTGAATTTTAGTTACAGACAGACCATGATGGCCATGGAGGGCAGAGCTTACCCTGCTCCTTCCATCTTGACAGTTCCTATCTGCAGAAAGCAATTACTGAAAGAATCTATCAAGTCTTCCTGCAGTAAGAAAGTTACCCAAGTCTGATTGAGAGATTAAATACACAGCTCTGCAGTCAGCTGTGCTATTGGTACATGTTAGTAGCTGCACAGGGTTTCTTTTCACTTTATACTCAGAGGCAAAGGTTTTTTTCATTTTAGTCAAGTATGGTGTGACTTGACAGAGCATATGAGGAAAACTTGTGAGGACCCAGTGCTTGCTTATTAATGCTCTTCTAAGTGACCTGATGTCCTGACCTTGCTACAAGGGAAGGCTAAACTTCTTGACAGTAATGATCAGATGAACAAGAATAATCTGTATTAAATTAGCAGCTAAAAGGTACTTTTACTTTCTCAGAGAATTATTATTTTATTCCCAGTGAAAATTCAGGGATTCACAATGAAGTGGACATCTGGCTCATTTGCAGGTGCATGGGCAAGATTTGGCTGTATTCAGCACTCTGATTGTGAGAGAATGAACACCCAGTGGAAAGAGAAATATGGATTTCAGACTTGCAGTAATGCACATATCCCTATTACATCAGAACTAGTGGGATTCAGATATATCAATGTCTAATAGTAAACACTGTTAGAAATGCAAATCAAACAATAAGTGTCAGCTTTGGGTAAGTTATTTATAAAAATATAGAATATATCAGTCATTTAATTCAGTTTCAAGACAATATTGAGATTTTGCCTTCATATTCCTTTATCGGGTTGTTTTGAAAAGCTGATTTCTTCCTGTAGGATTTGATTTTAATTGCTTAGTTTCTATTAAGTTGCAAGAAGTAATAAAATAATTAATGATGTTTAAGAATGGGACTAATCTTTTGGGAGGTGGTTTGAGGTGGCATGGCTGGTCAGAGGTGCATGATAAAAATACATGATTATAAAATGAGGACTGTCACTGCACACTTGTTTTTCTTTAGGCTTAAATATGCAACATATAATTTATCTACTTACATGCTAATTCTACATTCTCATGGATTTGTGAATACTGTTTGTGGGGAGAAGGAAAAGAAAGAAAACTTAACAATCAACCCATACTCCTACCATCTTGGAGAATCTTGAGGATTTCATGCCTGCAAACCGTGGAGCTGTCTTTAATTCATCCTTTTTTATCTGATTGTGTCTGGTGAATTTTCATTTCCACTCTACCACAGGCATCTCCTATTTTAGGGGCTTAAATTAAAGAAAGAAACATGTGGTTTATGTCTTGGTGAACTTCCTGATCTTGCAACCCCCTTTATTCATAATCCAGACTTTGGCATCTCCATTGCCATAGTCAGATTCAACTGTGACTTGACAGTTCAGCTTTTAAATGCTCAGCTTATTAATTTGAAATTTGTCGTAAGAATACTAAAGGCTAACAGTTGTATTTCCAAATTTAACACCCAGTTGCATGCAGGGCTTTTGGATGTAAAGCAAAGTTAAATTTGATCTAATCAATATAAGTCCTGATTCAATCCTAAATAAATGTGGAGATTTCAAGGGTATTGCTTGTTTGCTTTTTTGTCTTCCTCAATCCAATGGCAACCTGAAGAAATATAAACCAAATAGGCCACATATGCATGAAAAACTCTATTAGCTGAGAATTAAGTAGTGACTTTGAATTTAAGTAGTGTAACATTTTCTCATTTTTACCTCAGTTAATTTACAGATGGGTCACATGCAACCGGGGTAAGCTGATCTTTCCACTGCACCACTGACCGTCATCCATGGCAAAGAAAAAAAATTCCTACAGAAATCATTTTGAGCATGTGTCACCAACCCATGAAACTCCAGAATTTCATCATAGATTTGGTCAGATTTCAAAATCTTGGCTTTGCCCTCAGTAAGAAGCAGAGTCCTCCATTTAGTGTAGATCTGTAGAATGTTCCAAAAGGTGAGATTTTGAAATTCAGTATTCTGACAGTGCCTGATTTTTTTTATATGAATGGTGATTAAAATTGGTAATTTATCTGTATACCACAGTCCTGGTAAATAAGGCTTAGATTTGTATATCATGAAAGGAAAGCTGCTGTACTTTAGTTATGTTCTGAATCTTAGCCTTCTATCCAAAATAATAATAATTTTTCTGACCAGTATGAAAATAGCTTCTAAGAAGATTGTGGTTATTACAGGTATTTTTGAATTGCCATACAATGGAAAATGTAATTTAGAATGACTGTGTCAGTGCTCAGAGCACAGACAAGATTTTTTAAGAATTCCCAAGTGACTGAAAATACACATTTTTCTTAATAGAAGTTTACAGGTGGCTTTGTTTGTCTAAAGCTTCAGACACAGCCATGTTGTAATGAATATATGCTCAGAAAAAGTGCCATTGCAAACTTGAGTTAGGTGGTTTTTAAACATTCCATATTTAAGGTCCTATTTTGTTCTTAATTTTCAATGAGACTAATAGATACAAAATGATTACAGAACTTGAATAAAGAAGCATTTGGCACTGAGTAGTGCATTTTGATAATGGTAGTAGTTAAGATTATCTGGATCTTCTGATTTTTATCATTGAAGAATGTGGTTTATCCTGTCTGCAACAGTCTAGGAGGCAGATAACTCAGGGAGGTAATTTTGTGGAATTTGTGAGCCTCAGTTGAGCAATACTAAAACTGCTTGAAAAGGGGGTGCAAACATTCCCCACCTCCATCCCTGAATAGCCGGTCCTTTTCATCTCTAGCAACACGTGCCACACTTTGTGCTAAAATTACATTTCCAAGGGAAGTGTGGTGTGTAGTAGAGCTGACCCAGGCATGCCCTGATGTGCACACTGGTCCCAGTGACACCAGTCCTCCCTGGTCTGTCGGTTTGGTGGTGGCTGTGCAGAAGGGAAGAGGCAGATCTGTGGGAGCAGAACAAGCAAGGGGAACAGCAGTTGCAGGCGTACCTTGGGCTCCCTGTGTCAATGCAGAGCACATACACGGGGGAAAGGTGTTGCTTAGAGCTTTCCACAGCATGCTTGAGAAGTGTTCTTGTGCCACAGGTCACAAGAATTATTTTCTCAGTAGTATCCGAGCTATAGAGAGGGTCATGAAGATAGTGAAGAATGTAATTAAGCTTAAGTCTGTAAATCCATTAAAATCTACTTTCAATTCAGTGACAAGATTTACAATCTATGACAGTCTAAATGGTGATGATGATCTAAATGTGCATGATAGTAGGCTGGCAGAAATAGAAAAAGTTTCTTTGAAGATTATCTGAACTGACAAGGTTACCAGAATCTTTTGTTTGCTCTTGACACAGAAAGACATTGTGCAATTGGTGTTATTGTGTTCACCAAAGCAAACAGCAGCCGGGAGGGGGAGCTGAGGAAGTGGGGAATGGGAGACACAGTGACATATAAAGGGGAATTGCATAGGCCTGTCCTGCATTTTTATTTCACGTTTTCCACAAGGTTCATGAATGCAAAATGAAGCTATTTCTCCTAAGCTGCTTGCTGTTTTCTTGCTGTTGGCAAGCTGGGGCAGTGAACCGTGAGTACTACTTGGGCATTACAGAGACTGAGTGGAACTACGCGCCCGGCAGTGCCAATGCCATCTCGGGGCAGCCTTTTGCAGAAGAAGAGTAAGTGAAGCAGTTCACACTGGTTGGGTTTGATTTTACAGCATCATCTGGTTTAGGCACCAGGGCCACACTGGTGAAGGCAGTGAAATGAGTCTTGTTGGTGTCAGTGGATTTTTTCCTGCCTTGCTTGAGAACTTCATTCCAATGTTCTGCTAATTAAAAGCATTTGAATATGTAGGGGGGTGTGAATTTGTTGTAATGAAATATTTACTAAGAAGAGACTAGAAAAAGACCCCGAAAGTCTAATGTTTAACTTTGTATGACTAAGATGCCAGTGTCAAAGAGATGACTTTTGCTGTTGTTTTTAAATGCAGAAGCTTGACAAATTTAAAACTTTCCTACTGTGCACAGGTTTCCTTTTTAGCTGTTCTTTTTTAGCAGGGGTGGTTCTCTGTGCGGCAGCACAGCTGGGTCCTTCCAGCACAGTGGAGGAGCTGGGTTGCTTGTCACAAGGCAAGGAGGGTCCTGGGCAGACTGAGTGCAATGAGTAGGCTGAGGATAAGTACAATCAGGAGGAGGGGAGCACCCTGGAGGTATGAATAATCAATAAAGAAAACTCAGATATAAAAGGCATCAGAGAAACATTTGAGAGAGAAGAAGTGTTCCTCCCTTCTATTTTTTCAGTGCCTTTAAAATTAAATAGGACTATACCAAAATAAAAACAGTGAAGAGAGAAATCAGAAATTGGAAAGATCTCAAAAATGCAGTTCTCATTTAGTCTGTGGATGAGGGATTAGGTGATTTCCTGTGGTTTGTTTTCTCTAGTGAGAGCCAGCTCTCTCAGCCATAATCTACCACTCCATCGGGTGTGAGATGAAGCAGTCAGCTTTTTTTTCTTTCACTCACAAACCGCGTGAGGTATAAGACACTGTCAGTGATTCAGCAGGCTACTAATTCTGATCAGGGGTGGAAACAAGGCATCTTGTCTGAGAATTCCAAAGCTGTGTTGTAATACAATGAACCACTGCTGTTCACTGCACTTTCACTGCTTTTCTCTGCTCTGTGATGACCTGCAGCTTGCTGCATTAATTCCAAGTTCTCAATGGTTGTATGCCTGCAGTGGAGCTGGTCCCTTTTATTGTACTTCTCATTTTCAGGTTCTTCAATTCCTCTCCTCCTTAACTATGAGGCTCTGTGTGTGTGGAAATTGGTGTTTATAGGGACAGGGAAAAGCACAGTGCAGAAGGAATACCCTTCAACTAAATGATAGCTGTTTAAACAGTCCAGTAAGAGCCATAACTTATTTGTTTGCTTTAGTTTGCAACTCAAAAGCCCCATGCACTCAGACTTCTACTAACTGAGCCTTTGCAACTGAGTTTATGCTCCTCAAGTTTCATGAAACCCTGAATTGGCATTTTAATTCCATTTCAGGTCTGTGCTTGCCAAGGTACATACAATTCCCTCTCCACACGCTCAAACAATACTCAGCCTCATAGAAAATACCTTGCATTTTTGGGAAGTATTAACTTTCTTCACATGGCTTGCTCATGGTTGTGCACAGTGCTGTGGAGGATGGGTCTTTATTTGAGACTATTAATTTAAACCATTAACACATAAAACGAGTACCTGACACTACAGATGTGTTTGTGTATTTTCTTTACAGGCAGGCTGAAGTCTTTCTCAAAAGAGGACCACATAGGATAGGAAGCACTTACAAGAAGGCTGTCTACACTCAGTACACCAATCATTTATATGATGTGATAGTTGACAAACCTTCCTGGCTGGGGTTTTTAGGTCCTATAATTAAAGGAGAAGTTGGCGATTCCATTACTGTCCACTTGAAAAACTTCGCTTCAAGAAACTACACACTGCATCCACATGGTGTAACATATACAAAAGAAAATGAAGGTAGGCTTGATTCCATCCTGTCCCAGAATTTATCAAAAGTTAATCATCCTTCTGAGTATAAGTGATATTCTCTCATTAGAGAGAACACTGGTCAAGTAAATAAAGATTTAAATTAGGACACAATCAATTTAAAATAGGAGCTAAGAATTTTGAGGATTTTTTCCAGAGTGAAATACAGAGCCAAAAGTGGCAATATTAGATCAACATTTTACCTGAAATAACAGTATTTGTATTTCAACCTAAATAAGGGTATAAAGGTATGTAAGAGATTCAGGTATGGATATATAAAAGAAAAATTGATGCTGTTGTAGAGAAGATATTGTTAACAGTGATAACACACAAATTTTTAACACTAAGTTTGTGTATATGGTATATGAGACAAAAGAATCTCTTAAAATGGAGAAACAGATACGACTTAGTAATTAATTAATTAATGAGCTGAAAGTATGACACACTTTAAGATGTATTTAGGGGTGCCTTTGGGATTAGTGATAGCTTGTCCTTGCAATACCCAGTCTTGGCACACTCAGGCAATGGGGGATTTTCTGCACTGGATGGCACCAGAATATGGCTTTTGAAAGTTTTATTAGTGGGCCTTAAAAACAGTGTGTAAATCATTGGGAATATGATGTTGTCTCAAAATCAGTCTTTAAAAATCTTTCATTAGAAAAATTTTATGAAGTATCAACCTACCTTCTAAAATTTTGTGAACTTTTTCATTACAACTAGTATATATCTTGATATAGCCACACTCTGTGGAATCAGAACAGTATGTTATGTTGCAGTACATGCACTTTTGAGAACTTTTTTCTGTTGCTGTCCTTCCAGCAATGGCTGGAATATCCTTCAGGATACATGCGATATTTTAGAACAGTTTCCAAGATTAATATTTAACAAATGTTTTGCAAATATTTGAATTGTTATCTTTTTACCAGAAGTACATAGTCCCCTTCCAATAAATAAAGGACTAACTTTAATGTGCCATTAATTGAAGAACTCCTATGGACTTCAAAGGCAAATGAAGAGATTTCTAAGGAGAAAGAAAACATCTATTCCCCTGATTTAAAAGTTGTGCTTTTTTAACCTGTATTCAGATGTTCAGTCCATTTTACTGCAACATGTAGTGAACTTGAAGCATGGTAGGTGCTATCCTGACACCCTGTTGTGAATATGTTGTGGTAACAGTGGCTGTGTGGCATCTTCAGGTGCTTTTTATCCTGACGCCACCAAAGATTTGCAGAAGAGAGACGATGCTGTGGAGCCTGGAGGTCAGTACACTTACACATGGGACGTGACAGAAGATCAAGGGCCAGCTCCAGGAGATGCAGACTGCATAACCAGGGCTTACCACTCCCACATAGATGCTCCAAGAGATGTTGCCTCAGGGCTTGTTGGACCTTTGATAATTTGCAGGAAAGGTAAACCATAAATAAATAAGTGAGTAAACAGATACGTATGCAAGGTGATTGATAATGGTCATTGATAAATATCAGTGAAATCATTTACTGGAAGAGGAGAAGATTACAGTTGATTTTGAAATAACAGCTTTTGGTCTTCTCAATTAGCTGCCTAATAGTATAGGAAGTAGTTTGATTTTGTGTGTGACAGTGAATATAATTTGCAGAATACTTTGTCCACAAATCCAAGAGTGAGATGTGTTCATGCAAGGAAGTGTAAATACTGATATAAGAAGCAGATTTATGTGCAATTATTTTATACTATCTATCAAAAGGGATTTTTGTTTCCTTAGTGTGTCTATAAGTTTATGTGTACAGTCACACTCAAGAAAAGTGACAAAAACAGGGTCCAGCCCTACTGAGACTACAGTTAAAACTGACAAAAAATGTCAGTTACCAAAGATTTTGAATATGAGTTTGAAATACTGGTTTCTTTTTTAGGTACAATGAATAGGGACAGTGATCAACACTTTGATGCTGAATTTATCCTTATGTTTTCTGTGATGGATGAAAATCTCAGTTGGTATCTAGAGGAAAATATCAGAACATACTGTTCTGAGCCTTCCGAAGTGGACAAAGACGATGAGGACTTCCAAGAAAGCAATAAAATGCACTGTGAGAGAACATTATGTTATTGTTGCTTGTCATTGATATGGTGAAATAATGTTTTTGTGTCTTATCTCTTTTAAAGATGAATTGTTGTTAATCTTTTTTTTCAATCAAGGGGTTTTCTTGGAGGATTAAGAAAGATCCTTTTAAATAAAAAAAAAAGGCAAGTATTATACAGTCACACCTCTGGAGTTGTGATGTAAAATTCTTAGGGACCAGGAAGCTCTTTTCCAGTGTAGTTTCCCAGGCACTCTAAACAGAGTTGTGTTACTTTGTTCTGTTTCTTAGTCCTGAGTTTTTTACTACAATATCACTGTTTAGAAAAGCAGTTTTTACTGTTAATGTAAACAAATAAGATACCTTTGGCTCTGACCAATGGAATTCCAGAATCATAGAAGGTAGCTGTGCAGATGAAATGTGTGTCTGGTATTGGCTCACTTTCAAAGGTGTGGAGCTTTCTTTTAAGCCTCTTTCTATTTTGAAGAATAGAGCAATGGTTGTATGATAGCTGCTTTTGAGGAAAAGATCATAAGGCCTGTGAAGTTAACTGTAACAAACAACATTTATTTTAGCCATCAATGGATACATGTATGGATACCTACCAAACCTCACAATGTGTGTGGAAGATAAGGTAAAATGGCATCTTTTTGGCATGGGTAATGAAGCTGATATCCATTCAGCATACTTTCATGGACAGACCTTAATAGAAAGGCATCATCGAGTTGACACCATCAGCCTCTTCCCAGCCACATTCGTTGATGCTGTCATGACACCAAGGAGCCCTGGGGAATGGCTGCTTAGCTGCCAAGTGAATGACCATATTGAAGGTACAGTAAAAGTTTCAGTGATCAGAATTATTTTAGCTTGAGCTAAGAGCTTACTGACTCACTTTGGCAGGGCTCCCGACCTGGTTATATTCTCCTCTGGGTAACAAAACTCTCTCAGTAACTGAAATGCCTACAAGTGCATTAGATGGGCTTGAGCATGTAGCCATGAAAATCAAAGGAATTCTTAACTCTAATGGAGCTGCAATTAGCACAGATGCACTTTTGCAAGCCTCAGCACAGTGTTTGCCTCTTACTGAAAATAACTAACCACAATTTTCTGTTTGACAACATTAAAGCTGGGACTCGTTCCATTTTTATCAAGGGGCAACTTGCCTGCAGACAAAGACATTCCAGAATTGGCAAATGAGCTGAGATGTTCTGTTCTCTTCCCTGTGTCTTCCTGTATTTTCAGGTTTTGATAACCATATGAAGTACTTAGAAACTAATTCCATGCTTTTGAATGATCTGTATCCCTATAAGGGAGAGAAGTAATTTGTCACAAAAGTGGGAAAGAACATAGAACTGAAAATCATTCTCCAAGATTTTAAAATTCTAATATAAAAAGGAGTATGTAACTTACAGATTCAACAGCACAGAGATTATAAACTTTGAAATAGTTTTCACATCCAGCAACATCCTGATATGGTTGAAGCATCCTGGGCAAAACTTGAATCCTACAAGTTGACCTAATGTATGGCTGTAAAAGGACTCTCTTTACTATATTATTTGCATCTCCAGCAAGCAGATTTGCTAACAGACTGTTCCCTTAGTGTGCAGAGACCCAGCAGTTTCACAAGTAAGCTCTTGGTTAGATTTAGATGGAAGATGGTCAGTTTGGTAGCATCTGACCTTGGCTGAAGTGCTCATCGACAGAACTGCATCCACCCTACCCTGACCTTCTCTGCTGTGCCAGCTGCAGCTTTAGAAGCAGAAAGCCCTTTACCACACCTGTCTACCTGCTGTAGATACCACAGCTGGGTCTCTCCTAGCTCAGCTGGCATGCATTCTTTTATAACATTCATCATCTTCTTTGTTTGTGATTTGCACGTCCATCAATGGTGTGGGAATTCTCCAGGGAAGAGGACAGCTGTGGGAAGCAGGGAAAAGGAAAACAAAGTGCAGTTCCTTCTCCTTAGGTTTCTCTACCTCCTCTTTTTTTTCCAGGTGGTATGCAGGCCCTTTTCAAGGTAGAAGACTGTAAGAAATCCACACCAGCTCACAATGAGAGTACAAAGATAAGACAGTATTTCATTGCTGCTGAGGAGATCATCTGGAATTATGGCCCATCTGCAATGAACCATTTTACAGGACAAGAATTAATCATTGACAGGTAAAGGCTTCTAATTAAAGAAGCTTTATTTTCCAAGCAGAATTGATTTAAACATGCTAAATAAGGTAAGACGTATGGCAGAACTGACTTTTAAGCGGAATTGCTCATCGTCCTTACCTCTGCTTAAATATTAATGCTAGAATAAATATCAGACCAAACTAGATCTATTGTTTTCCTTGTAATCTTACTGTAAATTCTGCTGCTATATTAGTCATTTCACTGGGACTAAGATTAACTATTATGTCCCATGTAGGCAGTGACCTCTGATGATTCAAGAGGGTTGATTATTCTGAGTAGGAGAACAAAGCTAGGAATTCATGCTCATGGCCTCACTGATGGAAATCATGCTAACAGCATCTCATCTAGGAAACAGCCCTTTGCTCTTTGATCTGGATCCAATCACTGAATACACTGATTCCCCAAATTTTTTAACTGTGAGTTAAACACTCACCTCCTCCCCAAGGGACAAGGCACAGTTCATTGTTTGAATAGTGTTTGTAAAACACTGAAAGGTCCTTTCTTGAAGAGTAGAAGTGTAGATTGAATCTTCTCACTTTAAATTTAGATGTTACATATTCTTGGTATTTTTATCTGCTGTTGTTGAATTATTTATAGCATTTAATTAAAAGTAGACTCAAGGTTATGAAATGTTGACTAGAAATCATTGTTGATGAGTCTCTAAGCACACTGGCATTTTAAGGGCAACACAGCACAGTGGCTTTTTCTTAAAGAGAAATTAGTGAAGGATAATGGACTCCTGCACATCTTAATGGGACTACATGTAAGTGTGTGGCCAGACCACCAAAAAGAGACACACTCGGCATCGTCATAGTTCAGAAAACAGGGTTGAGGTCCTGACTGCCTTTGGACAGCTGAGCATTATGACTTGAACTGTTTATATCTATTGCAATTTCTTTTACACAGTGAATCTCACATCTTTTTTGAACAAAGTGAGACAAGAATTGGTGGCTCTTATAAAAAAGTAATTTACAAAGAGTACACAGATGGTTCTTTTACTGAACATAAAAAAAGACTCGCAGAGGAAGCACATCTTGGACTCTTAGGTAAGATAGTCTAAAACTTTTTCATGTCAAAGATTTATGAGAGTAAACAGTCACTTTCACTAGTTAGCAAGCAGTGCCCCCACTTCCAAGGAGGGGTCCTGAGTTCTCCCTGCCTCCTGCAGATGCTGGTGCCTGTGGCTTCCCCCAAGATACACCCCAGGGTATAAGGAAGCTCTTGGAGGCAATGCTGTGGTGGTGCCCAGCTTCCCTATGGGAGCATGCCATGGTCTGCAAAAGTCGGGTTCTGAACTACAAGGCCAGGCCAGGCAGGTCTAGTCCTATTGATAACCTGTCTGCTTCTGGCAGGTGTTGGTGCTAATGTCTGTAAATCCCTTTCCAAAGGGAGGAACTGTCCTGAAAGTCACTGGGCCTCCACGTGAACTGTGAATGGCTGCTGCCGGGCTACCACGTGATTCAGGCCACGTGCCAGGGACCTGGTCTGTGCCACAGGGCCTGGGGCATTCCCCTGCAAGGGGAAAAGCAGCCAGCCCCTGATTGCCACTGAGTTCGTGGTGACCTGTCACCACTTGATAGAAATGTCCTGTAATTAGACGTGTGCTCTTTTCCAGGACCTGTTATCAGGGCTGAAGTGGGTGAGCGCATCAGGGTGACCTTCCGGAACAACGCCAGCCGCCCCTTCAGCATCCAGGCCCACGGAGTGAGTTACGCCCGGAGCGTGGATGGGGCACGCTACGGCCCCGTGCCCAGAGGTGTGCCACGGGCCAGGGGGAGGGCTGCAGCACCTCAGCATGTGCTGTCTCACCTCTCCATGTGTTAAAGGGGATAAAATAATGTTCACTTGACATGATTCCCGGTGGTGATTTCCGTGGTAGGTACCGAATCTCCAGCCTCTCACGTGAGTCCTGGTGCTACGTTTACGTATGAGTGGAATGTGCCAGAAGATGTGGGTCCCACAGACCAAGACCCAGACTGTTTAACCTGGCTTTATTACTCAGCTGTGGATGCAGTCAGAGACACCAGTTCTGGCCTTGTGGGTCCTCTCCTGGTGTGCAGGAAAGGAACTCTTCTTTCTTCTGGGAAACAGGTCAGTCAAAGTAGAAAAATGGAAGCATTTACATCGTCACAGCTGTATCTGCTTTCTCCTCCTGAATTGCACCACCTCCCTCCAGGTCTCAGTCTCACCCATGTGCTAAGGGGAATTATAAATGTGAAGTGGGTTTGGTTTTCAGTCTGGCTCCAGATAGAGAGTCACTTCATTGTGAAAACACCACTGTTGTGAGCAGCCACTGGCATTCGAGTCTCAGCTAGGATGAGAATGTCTAGGAAAATGTAGAGGTTTTAAAGACAAATTAATTTCCAGAGGTGGTTCCTGCAGTAAAAAGAGTATTAGCAGCAAAAACTCACAAGATACAGCAATCACAGAGCTTTGAGATGATCAGAATGAAGTATCAATGTATGCGTCTACCCTACTTTGTGACTTATAAATTATTATAAGCATAGATTTTTTTGTTTCCTGACATTTTCTGTTCACTCATTTCTATTTTCCTTTGTGCTATTTCTTCTTAACAGAAAAATGTGAACGTGGAGTTTTTTCTACTTGCCACAGTATTTGATGAGAATCTGAGCTGGTACTTGGATGAAAATATTTTGATGTTTACATTAAATCCTGATAAAACTGACAAAGATGATGAAGATTTCCAAGAATCTAACAAAATGCACTGTAAGAAAATTATTAGTTAGCCAAAAATAATTTCTACAATAAGGTTTTACTTTTATGATTTCATGTTGGAGGCTAAAAAAGTGTATAGAGGCAGAGATATTTCATTCCTTTCCAGGGGAAAAAAAGCCCAAAACGTTTCGATGCGATTCAATTTCAACTAAATGTGGTAGTTCAAAGTACAATGCCAGCTGTTCAGTGTCTTGCATGGCAGTTTAGGATTTACATGGTTATGTATCACTTTGAGCAGACAGAAGGAGGAGTTAGGTCTTCAGCCCGTGTGCAACCCCTGTGAATGCAACCAGGCAGCAAGAGCTACATCATCTGTAGCCTTACTGATGATGTAGCTGAAAGGAGGTTTTTCACAGAATCACAGAAGAGCTGAGGTTGAAAGGGACCTCTGGAGGTCACCTGGTCCAACTCCATGCTCAAGCTTGGCCACCCAGAGCTGCTTGCCCAGGACCACATCCTGATGGCTTCTCAATACCTTCAAGGATGGAGACTCCACCGTCTCCCTGGGCAGCCTGTGCCAGTGCTTGGTCACCCTCACAGTGACAGTGTTTCCTGATGTTTGGAGGGAACCTCCTGTGTGTCGGTTGGTGCCCACGGCCTCTGACCCTGTTCCTGGGCACTGCTGGGAAGAGCCTGGCTCTGTCCTCTTGGCATCTTCCCTGCAGGTGTTTGTACAGGTGGATGAGATCCCCTGAGCTGCTGCTTCTCCAGGCTGAATGATCTGAGCTCTCTCAGCCTTTCCTCGTAGGAGAGATGCTTTCTTGTCCCTTTGTTGTCCTTGTGGCCCTTTATTGCCCTCCAGTATGTTCATGTCTTCCCTACCAGGGAGCCCAGAACTCAGCCCAGTCCTGCAGGGGTGGCCTCAGCAGAGCTGAGCAGAGGGGAGGGATCCCCTCCCTCGACCTGCCGGCCGGACTTTGCTTCAGAATTAAAGTCTTTGCTTCTTTAATAGAGCAGAGCTGAGTTTCACACTGACTGTATTTTGGTACTGCAGAAATATTTTTCAAGTTTCCTGTGAAAAAACATTTTTACCTTCAGGGCCCAGCCCTGCCAATAAGCCCTACTCTTTAAGCACATTTACGTGAGTGCTTTCTTAAATTTTGCTCTCGGGGCATTGCTACTATTTACAGACCATTGGTGCTGAGCATTCAGTGGTACCTGTGAGGCCCAGGATTTGAAAGTTTTACACAGAAGTAGCTAGAAAGGGTTAGTAACTCAAAAACCCTCCCGATTGCCTCCACTATATGGCTGGAGATGGTCACAGGATATAAAGTGGGATGCTTTATGCATCCTGAATACTTGACAGGAATAAAGCAGAGGAAATTCCAGTTGGTTAAGGCAGCAACCTGTGCTTTAGACATTGAAAAGGAGAACAGTTAGATATTATTTTTCAATACTGGGATTTAAAAGTTGTTTTGCTTGAGTTGATTTTCTAGTTTTGTTAATGTGATGAAGTATTTTATTATTGATATTTCTGTCAGTCTAAGGCATCACATTTCATCTGAAGTGTTTATTAATTAATCTGTATTGCAGAATTAAATCATATATTAATAAAGGTGGGTTTTGCTTTCTCAAATCTTCTACAGCCATTAATGGTTATATGTATGGAAATCAGCCTGGTCTTGAGATGTGTAAAGGAAGTGTGGTTTCTTGGCATTTGATGGGCTTGGGTTCAGAAGTTGATGTCCATGGGATATACTTCTCAGAAAACACATTTGTAACTAAAGGAACAAGAAGGGATACAGCAAATCTGTTTCCACACACATTTCTTACAGCTATTATGAACCCTGATTCTGAAGGTAAATGTCTTGTTTAAAAATCCTGTTAGTAATGCAGAAACTGTTACCAATGCATGTTTTATGCTTAGAGACAAGCCTTAAATAGCTGGTATTTTGATCCTGGTGCTAAAACTGTGCACAGGTGTGTTTGAAAGGCAGCAAACTGTAGAGATGTGTTCTTAATGCTAAAGCCTTGATTTTTCCAACTTCTATGTGTGCTGAATTTTATTACAAGTAGCCATACTGCACAAAGAGTTTGGACCTTATATGAGCAATAGCTTGTGTCTCAGTCTTTAAACACTACATCAATATTGGTAATACAATCTTAAGGTAACAGACTTCTGTCCTCAAGTCTTTATTTCTTGTATGACCTCTAGGAATTTTTGAAGTGTCCTGCCTGACAACAGACCACTACACTGGGGGCATGAAACAGAACTACAGAGTGAAACAATGCCACTGGTGGAATGTAGATCCATCTCTGTATTTGCATGAAAAGACGTACTACATTGCTGCAGTGGAAGTTGAATGGGACTATTCTCCTGACAGGACATGGGAATTTGAACGGCATCAACACCATGAGGAAAGGTACTTTGGAATATACACAGGGGAAAAAAAATGCAAAACGAGCAAAACAGCAACTCACTTCTCCTCTGAACCTTTTCCTCCTCCAGACATTTCTAGACACACTTTATTTTCATATATATTTTTAGGGCTCACTTGAATTTGTGGTCCTTCCCCTGTACTGTTGCCATGCAACTGTGAGCCAGACAGCACGATATTCAAGAAATAGTCCAGTGTAGATCTTCTGTGGGACAAGTGTATATTTTCATGATTTCTGGATAGTGCATGTGCATTTATTATTTACTGATATTGGTAGTCCTTGATGTGGAAAGCTTAAAACGTTCATTGTCAACGGTGACTACTTTGTCCTGATAATTGATTACTTACAATCTGTAACAAGTCTTTGTCTCATGTTTATTTGTAATCTGAGTAAGGTTCTTTTTTACTCCTCTCAATTTCATGAGATTGCACAGGATAGACCATGACCTAACCCACTCACTGTGAAGCTTGTTGTCTGGTGTTTTGTTTCCAGTATTTGAATCTCAGTGAGAGAGAACTGATTGGATCAAACAATTCATGCCAATTAGCAGAAGAGGCTAAACAAGAACTGATGATTTTCTGTGTTTCACCTGAATAACTTCAGTTGAGGTTAAAGTAGCAGATTGTAGTAGCCTGTATTTTGTCATTAACTTAATTGTATTTTCTTCTTTTTCCTCGGCTTGATAGCACATTTCCTTGCCCTGCATACCACAGTGGACTCTGACATAGTACTAAGCACAAGTAATATGGACTGTGCTGTTATGACTTTTTTTTCCCCCACTGTCTCCAGCCTCTATGATCTCAGCAGAGAATCAGTCCCTCACATTTAATTTCATCAAGGCATTTAAGCTTTACAAGTTTTAGGCTTCTTTTCAGATTACAGAAGTCACTGAGGGCTCTGTTTTTCAGTATACAAGTTGCTGTGTGACTTCTTGCAATTTGAAATATCTGCCAGGCCAAGTGCTCAGCATTCTTTTAAGTACTATATAGACTTGGTGTAATTATAGTGAGTTTTTTAGCCTTTCAAAGAGAAACCTTCCAGCTTAACGAGAATGTTTTCACATTGAAGATACCAGAAGTTTATGAGATTACTGTTTCGCTGAGCTGGACTCTTGTTTGATAGTTAATTGACATAACTGCAAAAGATGTCTTAAAATACATGAAGAAATGTTTTGGTTTTTTTCTTTTGGCAGCCCTGGCAATCCATTTTTAAATAAAAATGACAAATTCATTGGCTCAAAATACAAAAAGGTAGTATATCGTGAATACACTGATCAGACGTTCAGTACTCCCAAAAACAGAGCAGAGGAGCAGCAGCACCTGGAAATTCAAGGTAGAGTCATCATAAAGTTCAGTTTTGAAAATGTGAAAAATGCAGTGACACAAGCCAAAAGATACTATTTGAATAATGTTGAGTATAGTTCTACCCACACAAAGTGCCTAAACCTATGTGGAAACCCTACATGGAATTCCTACTTTTATTATGGTGTTTTCCCTGCAAGATTACATTGGTTGCTGTAGAAGTTAAAAACCCTTCTGGTTTGCTGCCTGATCAGAGGTCAGTATTTCCAGCATAAAGCTGGGTAACAACATCCAAGCTGACTTCAGGTACACAGTAGGTGCTCAGAACTTTTGAGACCTAGAGGCTTAACTTCAGCATCTCAGGTTGGCAAGTCATAGTGAACAACACTATCTGTATAAAGTTTTCTGTTGACTTATAAGTCAATAATATGAATTTGAACACAACAAACTGTTTGCTCTGATCTTTTGTAAAACCAAGTTCATCTTTCTTTTCAATCCAACAGGGCCACTGCTTATGTCAAATATTGGAGATAAAATTATAATAGTTTTTAAGAACTTAGCATCAAGACCTTATTCTATCCACGCCCATGGAGTGAAAACAGACAGTTCTGCTATTGCTGTAACTAACCCAGGTATCGAACCATCCTTCCTTATTTCTAGCAGGTAACATCAAGACTTCTACTAAGGTTTATTTCAGATAGTAGGAAAGACATAGTTTTTGTTTGTATGTTTTACCTCAGGCTCTTAAATTTTTGATGTCGATTATGACAAATATTTCCACAGTTCAAATGGCCCTGCTAACTATGGCTATGTATCCTAGTCCTTGACTGATCAGTAGTTTTTTGACACAACGTGGCTGCACCTTTCATGAAAGCAAACAGATTTGGTTACGTAGGGAAAGCATAGCTTATGCTATTATTTCTGAAGTTTCTCTGTGATCTTTACAAAAGATACAGTTGTCTTTATTAATATGGTAAACTGGACAGGGAAGACAGACAAAAAAAAACAAAAACCCAAGAAGAATCAGGGGTCTGCAGAAGTTAGCCAGTGCAGTAATTGGGAAGGGGAAGTTCAAGACATATATAAGCTGTAAATGGAGATAACATCTGTTTCAAAATGACCTCCTATAGGTCAGCATATTGAAAATTTCTAAAATTCATTGATACTTATTTAATTCAGGTGAAACAAAAATGTATGTCTGGAAAATCCCAGAGAGATCTAGTCCTGAGAGAGGAGATCCACACTGCATTGCATGGGCATACCATTCAACAGTGGACATCGTTAAGGTATGTAATTAATATCAGTCTAAAGGGTTTTGTTCATGCCTCCAACATGGATATACTTATAGAAAAAGGGAATTTGAAATTCTTTCTGCTTTCTCTGTCAGGTTATTTCCCCTGTTACCATACCTTTGAATTTAAATGTTTCTTGAAGTCAAATTGCAGGAAAGTCAGGGCATAATCTGAGAGTCATGGCCCTCCATGTTCTTGCTTTCTGGTTTTTCTGCTGCTGGTATAGTCACCTCACTCAGATTTCCTTGTTGAAGCTAGCACTTTATAGCTTGCTCAGTATCTAATCAATCATGTGAGGGAAAACTAACATGCAGCTGTGAAACACAACTCTGCCATTTCTTACCAAGCGTGCATTAACTCAACAACTAATAATTTTTAATGGAAATGAATGTACACTTGCCTTCATGTCTCAACAAATACAAATAAAGTGTCGAAAAGTATATTTTGAATGTAAACCAAGCTCAAAATGATAAAATTATAAAAATAGTTTGGCAAAAAAAAGAGCAAGAAATTAATATGGAATGAATGCTTATTTCTAGCGGGAGATGAAAATGAGGCAGTTAGTCTTCACTGAGGTTGATCCATGGGTAGCATGTAACAGTTGAGAAATAGCCTTGTTTGTCTGACAATGACTGCCTTTATTCTCAGCTACTGACAGCTGTAAAGATAGTAAGAGGATTCAGGTCTGTCATTAAATGTGCTTCTGCTTAGTTAAATCTTGCAATTATGTGGTTTTTCTTTTGTCATTTCAGGACACTTACAGCGGATTAATAGGCACACTTGTTGTGTGTCATAGACATTATCTGCCATCATTTCATACTAAAAAGAAAGTTCAATTTGCTCTTCTTTTTATGGTTTTTGATGAAAACGAATCATGGTACTTGGATGAAAACATTAAAACCTATTCTGCCAACCCACATCTTGTTGACAAAGAGGATGAGGACTTCCTTGAAAGTAATAAAATGCATGGTATGTTTCCCAATTTAGTTAATATAACTCTGGGAACTCCATACAATTATATATTTGAAAGTACTTCGTATAAATTTGACTTCCTCACTGCACCTGAATTTCCTGTTCCAGTGCAGAAGGCCTGAAAAATTTTACTCAAACTGTTTGAAAACACTGTGAATGCCACCGAATGACTTTTTCCCACAGATTAAAGAAAAAAACCCCAAACAAATACCTCCTCCTCCCCAAATATTCCCATGTTGAAGTTTTTTAGTGTTAGCAAACAACTGTTCTGAATAAGCTGGAAAACCTATGTGCATCCTGAAAGCATGTCCTGGTAAAGCTCACCCCTTAAAAAGAGCTGCAGGAATTACAGAACTGCAAAATTACCAATGGTGTACAGCAAAGAAATTTCATTTACCATGTTATTCTTTCTAGTTAAATATGGAATATAAACACATGTTTATAATGTGCTGTCCAAAGCCATTACTTTTGTCTGGCATTTGCTTTCAAATCTTGTATTACATGCAAGTTTAGAGATCAACAATGCACACAATTTGTTTTCTGTCTTGTTCTTTCCTTCTTTTTAGCCATTAATGGAAAGGTGTTTGGAAATTTGCATGGCCTGAATATGCATGTTGGAGATAAAGTCAGCTGGTATCTGGTGGGAATGGGCAATGAGATAGACATTCACACAGCACACTTCCATGGCCACAGCTTTGACTACAAGGTATCAAGTCTTCATTTATTTCTTACTGTGTTAAGAATGAGAGGTAGGTCAATTACCAAGGACTGTAATCTATGGTGAAAAGTCACATTACAATATTAAGCAGGGCTTGTAATTTGACTGTAAGGTTTTTATGCCCCAAACCTTTATTTGATCAACATACATGAGCCAGTGAATATCTGCCAGTAGCATTTGCTGACTGGTAACCTCACAAGTTGCTTTAACATGTCAGCTGTGAACTTCTCGTGACTGTTGCAAGACAAAAGCTGTAGTTGTCCTTCATTTTCATTTAGCTGATAGTTTATTACACTTTGGAGCATGAAATGGATGTACAAAAGTGATGCTTCAGTAGAAATGACACACAGGTGTATTTTCATTCAACTGCGATTGAAATGTTTGGTGAGTAAATGGATAAAGCTTAAATCACTGCCACCTGGGAATGCCACCGTTTAACTGTTGCTTCTGTTTGTCCTGAAGCAAACAGGGATTTACCGGGCAGATGTCTTTGACCTGTTCCCTGGGACATTTCAAACTGTGGAAATGACTCCACAGAACCCTGGAACGTGGCTGTTACACTGTCACGTTACTGACCACATCCACGCAGGCATGGAAACAACCTACACTGTGCTCCCAAAGGAAGGTAAGAGCTCTCGAGCTCAGTAATGGGCATTATGTTTAAAGATGCACAGTGGGGCTCACAGACACTCCAGTGTACTCAGAACCAGTGCAGACATCCAGAGATATTCCATGTCTAGAAGCCACTTGGTCATACTTCCCTCAAGGCTGCTCAGGACACCAAAGTAACTAAAGGACTGGATGTTAACTGGCTATTGCTTCAGCTTCCCATCCATGTAAAGGGACAGATTTTTATTTAAAAAGAATTCTTCATGAGACAGTATTTCTGTACCCAAGAATTGCCAGTAGTGTCAGACTCCATCTCAATCTTCATTTAAAACAATAAGAACAGTTAGTAAATAAAGCTGAATTCATCATTCCTACACAGCTGAAGTACTGAAAAACTAAAATAGTGTTTTCTTTCTCAAGGACATGTTTTAGCTTTACAGACACTATTACCTTGCTCTAGCAATATTACCTGTAAAAAATCTTGAGGAATTTTGAAAGCTCTTGTTTCTACAAAGTTAATACAACTTTAAAAACAACTCTTTCCAGTACTCAAAAGACAGAGCATAACAGGTATTCCTTGTAATTGACAGAAAGAGAACAATAGGAATATTTCAAAATATGTGTATGTATATGCATATATATATATGTATATATATATACACACATATAACTATATGATGTTTATTTGTATCTGTACTAAAAATAGAGACTGGAATGTTAAACAGAATCTAATTCTATTTTATAAACCACTGGCATGTAAAACACAATCTAGTTCTATTTTATAAACCCTACTGATTTACAGAGTATATTGTGCCAAACCTGCACAGACAATAAGGCTGATTTGAGAGTACACAGAAAGAGATGCAGAAAGAGACTTTAACTTGTAGCAGCAGTATGTTGGATTTTTCATTATTAGCCATCTAAAGAGCATCAAAATGTACCCTTCAGTGCATCTTAAAGCTGTTTTTAAATCTAACTCACAATGTCCAGAAGGTACTGGCATCCACTGTGCTCATTTTGGACTCTGCTGGCCACATGCACAGACTGTTCTTTTGATGAAATGCGTGTAAAAAAAGCTATTTTCCCCCTTACAGATAAACGGTCTTTGTTCCCAAGATTATTCAATCAGTTCAAGTGTAAAGGCATGGCAGGCACACAAGAATGATGACAGCATTTTAACACAGTGGTTCTCCAAGGTCTATCTTCAGTGAACATTTCTTGGAAAATATTCTCCTCTGGTCAACTCATCTCCACGTATGGTTTGGAAGATTTCATGTAGTGGCCACAGGTACCAAAAGGGCCATAGACTAAGACAGTTGAATGGATATGACAGCTCGTAAATATATTTTTCTCTAAATAAAAGTTGTATCTTGCAAGCTAAACATATTCTAGGTGGTGCCTAATGCATGTTATTTAACAGCTGAGGAACATGGAAGAGCCTAATGAAATGTACCTTTTTTTAAAGTTTGAAAATAACCCTGTGTAACAGCAAAATTTGTTTTGCGTATCTGCCATCACACTGTCACATTTTACTAGACAGATATGGTAGTAGTTATTACTTAGAAAATAGGAATTTGGTTATCACTTTATCCACAAGTTGACACTGAAAATATATATAGTATTGTATAATTGAGCAGTTAACAAAATAGTCCTGTTATTTCTGTTGAATTATTTTATAATTTTATCCAGTAACACCTTTCAAGATGATTGGTACATTTGAAAGATGTGATGACTGAGGGATCATGGTTGCACAAGATGTTTTTGTTTTTCTGTTATGAAAATAATTCTAAGGCAGACAAAACTATGTTGCAATAAGCCTGATGAAACGAGACTGTGAAGGGCAAAATTTGTTGATGTCTATACTGAAGAGCTTTGCTCTGACAACTCTGAAGTAACTCCTGTAGTGGAATCCCTTTGCTGTTAGTTACGTAGTGCAGCCCTTGGCAAAGGTAAAAGGAAGTGTTTCCTGACAGCTGGAAGCAGCAGTATCAGTGCTTGATACTGGTGATGTTGGTCAAAAATGAAAGCAGTAAGAGCAGATATGGTCGCGCCATCCAGTTGTCTCAAAAGCCCAGCTCCACTCACATTAGGCCTCTATCTAACAAGAGGGAAGGATGCATGGGATGGGCAGGCAAAGCAAAACATCTGGGTTTACACCTATCAGAACAAAGTTGCTTCTCTGTAACAAACCTAAATTGTTTTGGCCTTTTTTTAAGGTAGAAAGATTATACTGAAACCAGCGTAACACCTACCAGTAAATTAATAATTGATTTTAGTGGTAGCAGAAATGCTACATGGGTAACTTAAACTACTTTCAATTTACCTTTTTTTTGTTAATGTATTTTAGCTGAAATACAGATGATCTCTTCTGCCTGACTTCTACAGGTTTAAGTAACATTACAACTTCAGTGAAAACAGATTTAATAGAGTCAGTGTCAGCTAATTAGGTCTTTAGATGATTTATACGGTCATGGGATCATGGGAATCATTGTATTTTTGATAGATTTTTAAAAAACCCAAACAACATTCATAAGAAAGTCATAAACATTGTGACAGTTTATTACGACTGAATTCCAGCTCTGAAGGAACAGAGGTATGCTTTCTGTTCACAAGACAGACAAACATCAGTACATACATGCACAAGTACCCCAGATGCTTACCAAAACACTAGAAGAAATAAGAGTTTTCAGCTGGATTTATGGCCTAGTGATACTTTAAATACTTTTCTACTAACTGAATACAACAGAAAAAAGAAAACTAAAACCAGCAAGCAAGCAGTAGTCTCTATCTTCCACCTCTGTTTCTCTTGGATTTATGGCCTTTTCTTGTGAATTGCTAAATGAAAACATTTTCAGTGTAACACTTGCATGGGTATGTCCTTAGGATGACAGAGCAGCTGACTGATTTTGCCAGCTGGAAGTCAAGGGAATGAATTCCAGCATTGCAAAATGAAGTCAGTAGGGCCCAATTCCACTTGGAAGAGTAAGGTACTTACTTTTACTCATACAGTTAGACACATGCCTGAGCCTGAACTCCCTAGGCCAGTGATCCAGCTCATACAGATTTGAGACTGACTTCCTGCTTTACTTTCAGTGAACACTGTATGTCCAGTTGTACTGTACAGTATTTTCCAGTTGCCTTGTCACCACAGTTAGCTTCAAAACAGATGCTTTACCTCAGATGACAGTTGTCCTTCAGTAGTTGATGTAAGATTTCAATGAAGAAGTAAGATGATTTAGGTGAGGGTAGTCCCACAGTACCTTATATGCAGCTCTGCTGTTTGTCTCATTTGCTTCTTTGTTTCATTTGCTTTTTTATTTCAGCACATTCTTTGTATTTGAGTGGATAGTAGACTTCATTGTTTCAGGTCAGCAGCTTCCTCTGGCTGCAGTGAAGGACATGTGGCAGGAAAAATGCTGCAGTTCCATCCTCTGGTAGAAGACTGACAAAATCCCGTAGTTCCAATTCCATTGCAACAACTGATAAAGTTTCTGCTCAGAGCAGGGGAGAAAAATCTCATTTAGGTATTTTGAGTTTAGAACAAAGAAACAAAAAAAAGTCATCAACAATGTAATTACGAACTGAAGTCATCAAATTATCTAAATATTGCAAGTGGAATGAAATTTGAGACATACCCATTTGGATACAAATACAACTATAGGAAATCTCAAAAGTAAACTGAAATTATGACTTAAATTAAAACCATACCTCTATCTTGACTCATCAGGTCTACACATGGCACTAATGCTAATGAAAGTCTGATCTAGTACTTCACATATTTTGTATGAAATGCAAAGGAAGCCCCGGAAATCTTATTAGTACCCTAACTCAGCACTGTCTGTAAAACTGGATGTTTTGCAAGCAGCTTCTCAGTCCGAGCTGTTTAACATTATGTTCCTAAGCGATTACAGGACAGTTATTGCATGAAAAAAATTCCAAAGAAAAACTGCTGGCACCAGAACCTAGAACTTTATGATAGAGCACGGCAACCTGTGCAGCACAATGCAACCCCTTGATGCTGTTTTTCTCAGGCATTCCATTGGCATACTTTTAACAATGTATGTGCTTTATTCAACATGCTTAATTTGTCAAAACAAACACACTGGCCCCTCAGCTATACACAGTATTATTAACTTCCTACAAACATGTAACAATAGGGCTACATAACTACTAAGGTGGATTTCTCTACTTCCAGTAATAACACACTGTGGTTTTTTCAGTCTATGACCTAATCATCAATACATACTTAAGCCTCCCCTGTGTTATCAACAACAGCCCATTACCTAAGAACCATATAGTCACTTAGCCTAGAAAAAACAAGAAACAATCACAAATAGCTCTAATTAGTAAGTTTTTTTACTGGTGTCTATTCCTGATCCATACAGAAACAGTATGATTACAAGTAACTGTTTTCGATACAAAAGGAATGCCGTGATTTTTATCTGAGGGTACAGTGTGTACATTGCACAATCTCTTGCTAATGACCAGAAAGACTGCTAAACTCTATTAGCTTTAGCTGGAGAAAAAGGTCCCCTTTTCTTCCAAATTACCACATCAGTTGTCCTTAGTCTGAACAGTTATTAAGACTGTTAGTTGACGTACAAAGGCTTCTGGAGTTGAGTTGCAACCAACTGATTTACCTTTGAGTGCTGAAATGAGAACAGGGCAGTCATTTCCCATAAGTCTAGTTCTCTTGCAAAGTTCAGGAAGCAGCTTGTTCCACCACAGAGCCTAAATCCACAAAAACCCACAGCAAAAGTGTAAATCAACAAGGACTGCAATTAAGAGTATGAAAGAGCTGCTAAAAATACAGGTCAGTCACGATGAACTTAATGCCAGGAATGCAGTGATTTTGCATATATTGTTGATAAGAATGCAGTGAAAGGAAGGGACTTCTTTCCTCCGTCTTTAAACTTGGTAACTTTTCTTTCACCTGCACTCAGATTCAGTACTGCAACCTCACATTCAACTCTAATGTGGAAACAATCAAAGAAACTATTTTCAGATCTGAATAAAAAGTTCAGATCTGGTTTTGAACAGAGTTCTAGTACATCCATCTAGAAGAGGATCACCTTTATTGACTCTGGTCAGTAAAGCTGTGTACAATTAATTGAGCAGCTGTGATTGGCAATGGAAGTAACCTCCTGTACTCCTGGAACACTGGAATAATACCAATTCCAACATTAAAACTGTATAGAGGCCTAACAGGAAAATGGGACATAAAGACATAATCGTTCCACTAGTGCATCAGTACCAGTCTGATGTTATAAGGTCAGAAGATGTCACTAGAACACAGGAAGAACATCATTTCAGTGTGATTTTCTTTGAAGGACCATGTTCCCCTATCAGTTAGCTTATCAGTAAGATTTCACCTATAAGCACTGCCAATTTAGAACACCAATTAATGAGAAACAAGGTAGTTTTTCATTTACAGTGGAAAAAAACCGTATTACTCTCCCTTTTCTGAGGCAGTCTGCCATCTCAAAAGACTATGCTTTAAATTTACTATAATGAATACAGTAAGTGACAGAAGAAACTGGAGGAAAAAATACCCCATTAAAATCAGTGGGGACTGAGTTAACAAATTAAAACACCAAGCAAGAGGTTCAATGCAAGCTAAGCCATTTACTTTGTCTGAAAGCTGGGCTGTGTGATCCATCCAGAGTCCATCTGTACACAACAGCATTTTAGTTAGGAAAAAACCCAAAAGACAGTGAACAACTTAATGAAAGTAGCACACCTGCTTGTCACCTTTGAGCTCGTGCTGAGCGTAGAGCACGGCTGCACCAGGACACCGGGGCAGGAGCTGCTCCAGGGCCTCCTCGTACCTGCCCAGCCGGGTACTGCAGAGAACACGCACGCTCAGGCCCACACTGTCAGCCTCTGCCAGGGGCTCCAGGACAGGCAGAGCTGAAGCCACATTGACTGACTGACTACATAAAAGAGACTGAAGACAAGAACAAAACTTATTGTTTGGATTTAAGACAAACTTTGCAAAAAATGCTAACTATAACCTTAGAACAGAAGCCCTTACTTGTTGGAATAATTCTAAAATAATACTTCCCTTAATAAATGTTGCTGAAAATTGAGAAAACAAGTTTAGAGAGGATGCAAATGTAAATAGCATTGTTACCAACAGATCTCTTTAGTAATTTTTTCTTCCATCATTTCAATTGGCCTTTTATTTCAACTTGGATAACTTAGGGGGGAAGGAGGAGAAGAGTCTGTTGGAGAAAGTTGTTAATACATATATGAATATTTGCAGAATGACTCTAAGTTGTAAGTAGTAGGAGTTAATACCTGTCTCATACCTGTAGTCTTGAGATGTCTTCATGGTAATCTTTATCAGATGAACATCCCGTTGACATTATGGAAGTCACCCATGGGAAAATCAACCCAAAATGATTACAGGAGTTTATCTATACAAGAAAGAATCAAATTGCAATAAAAGAAACATGTCTGCTAGTGATGGTTCCATGTGAAACTCACCACAAGTGAAGAAAATTTTAATCTCAAATAGTGTAACTTAGAAGAGCAGCTACACTTTCTTCTGGTTCATGCAATTTAGTAACAAAAAAACTGGAAACTTTTATTCAGTTCTGTATTCAGCTTTCCCATTCATAATTCTTTAAAATTCATCATTCACACAATTTTCTCATTCAGTAAGCTTTGTGAAATTGCAAACACTCCACTGACACATTCTCATTTTTCATTTTAGCCCTTACTTCTATCCAGAGCTGAGATTCCTGTTGGAAGTATATTTGCAAATGTCCCCAAGGAGTAGGACTGCCCCGAGCTAGCAATGCCAATCTGTAACTGCACACTACCTTCAGTCCTGCTTCTTTTAACAGACAAACTGTCCAGAATTAAAATAGTAAGGATGGTATTTGGACAGATTTTGGAGGAATATTGCAGTCCTAAAACCTCCTCTGAGTGGTTACCACTTACCAGATCCTCTGTTGTTTTCAACGGCTTAGTCTCAGGAAGTTGCTTCTTTGATATCCTCCAAACATACTGAGAAGTAACCCTCAACAAGAGCTCCTGAAGTATTTCTTCCTGAGAGCACACTACAAGAAGAGCTTCCCAGAAGTCCACCAAGAGCTGAGGAACAGTGTTTTCACTATTACTACACAACATCTAAGAACAAAAACGCCAGAAGACAGCAAGTTAACACAGACTATGGTGATTATTAGTAGTAGAAATTAGAAGAAACAGGAGGAAGAGTTTTTACTTTTAGAAGCAGAATTTTCATTCCTTTTTTGTCCTGTGATTCTACATAATACACTGCTAGGCAAAGTAAAAAGTTCATGGAATGATTTTAAGGTAATCAATTCTAAACAAGAGATTTGATTTCTTCTTCAAGATTTACTCCACTGCCAGAAATGTCACCACCACCATCAGCAAATATTTACAGATTGCTAATTTGGAGGATTTTATATATGCCAAGCAGGTGTCTTCAAAAGAGGACTATAGAGGCTATGATGAGAGATGCTGTGCAGCTCAGCTGGGTATCATGGCAGGACTCACAAGGGAGATGTTTTAACATGTGCTATGTCAGCAAAGAGGACTTTTATTTGGTATCCAAATGGTTTTAAACAACACTTGTTCTAATTTGAACTTTATGACTTGCTATTTTTGATACAGGTCTTTCACAGTAACAGGTATAGTAAGACTGCAACATACCCACATTGGAGAACACATGTTTTAACCTAAGTAAGTTATTCATTGAAGAGAAAAGAAAAAAAGGTTTGTCTAATTCCCAGTTAAAAGAAAGCAAACTTCAGGGATGCTAGAAAAACTATTCTGTTAATATTTCTTCTCATAAACTGCAGAGACACATTTTTCTTTCAGGAATTTATAAAGGACATCAGAACATTATATACCTTCATATTTAAGTCTGATTCTTTAGAAGTATGTCTTAATCCCAATGATTTCTTCAAAAAGAGCTTATGGAATTAATTTATCTACATTCTGTTAAATTTCATTAGCCTTAGGAAGCTCAATCACTAGGAAGCCATTGAAAGACCACTGAGATCAGAATATTCTCCAATCAAATGACAGGGTAAAAACAAAGAACTTAATGAATTTTTGGGGTTTTTTTTTGCATCATTTAACCAGTATTTCTTTCCAGAAGGTCCAGTTTCTGACTCTGTAATCATCTATCATGACTGGAATATAACCCTCTTTCTGAAGAAGTGCTGAAATGTGAGTGAAGGAGCAGCTGAGTCTGCTTTTTTTACCAATAACATCACTATGAAAAAAAACAGAAGCAAAAAAATGATCACAGGCCAACCTTGAAAAAGGTATCTGCTTCTTCCAATTCAATTTTACTGTTCTCATGTAAAGCCACAGTGGCAGCGACGAGTAAACCAGGCTGCATCTCCTTCAGGTGAACAGCAAACTCAGTGGGCATAAAAATTCCTCCCTTACGCTGCCTCAAGAGTTGTGGTTGCCCAGTGAAGCCACAAGCCAGCATTGTCTACAAACATAATCAGATATAAATCAGGTAAGGAATTCAATACATACATGACTCAACCCAATAAACTCAGTATTTCCTCAGGCAGTGAAGTTTAGATAGAGAAATGAAGGAAAGTCAGGGGAAGAAAACAAATCCTTTTTCATAGAGTAACTCTTCAGAAACCGAGCTCCAAACTGCATGAACACTCCAAAACAACAGGCCTTGTGCCTGAACACTGACAGTGTTCAACATGCTGTTGAAAGCTGGAGTTACTGTGCACATACGAAAGTTGAATTTTGCAAAGAAATCCAAGACATTCAATACACACGGTGCTTTGAAAA